CCTCCTTCCTGCTCTTAGAACCTGCCCAGAGGCCACGGCTTGAGAAGACCGTCCCCAAAAGGAAGGCCACCCTCTAAGACCCTAGACGGTCAAGGAGAGATGAGGAGCAGTTAGAGGGATCTCTGAATCTTTTCACCGCGTCTGCGAAATCCTCCTCCGGAAAGCCGTCCTACTGCACGTCCCCGAGCTTTGCGTAGATTCTCGAGAGGTTCTCGATTCTGGTGCCTCGGAAAAGGGCGCAGGCGGGTCCTGTGAGATCCTTCGGGGAGAGGTATACGCCCTACAGAGAGGGCCCCGGATACTCTCTCGGTTCCTTGCATCTCGGGGTTGGAAAACAGCGACCCCCAGCGCCCGGCTGCATTCCTGTTTCCCGCTCCCTGGGCGGAGTTGCTTTGACGCCCCCGGGAGCCAAGCTCAGCCAGGCTCTGAAGTCTGTGCCTGGCTGAGGAAAACACGCCCGCCGCCGCCTTGGGCGTGGGAGCAGCAGAGAGGCCCAAGTGCTTCATGCAGAGCGGTAGATGCCTGGATCCAGTTTCTATAAACCCAGGATACAGAACCAGAAGTAATAACCTCTTCCGTTTGCTAGCAGTTTTTATGATTTACAAACTCACGTACATCCCTAGCACAACCTGGAGGGTATGCCAGACAGGTAATGGCCATTTTTGCAGCTCAGGTAACAGGTACTAAGAGGCTTTGTTTCCTTAATGTCAATATTTCTTGAGGCACTGGAGGATTCAAGGATAAATAAAGAAAGGACTCGCCCTTGAGGAGAAGGGCCAGAAAACAACCCCCTCATTTACTTTGGCCATGAAGGGGCCTCATCTAGCTTGTTTAAGGCTGAATTTTCAAGCCTAGCACAGAGCCTGGCACAGATGCCACATTCAGTGAATAGCTGTTGAATGAATTAGAATTGCAGTAAACCTCAGAGCAAAATAACACCACCAGGAAACGTGGTCGCTTCCTGCCCTAGGAGAAGTGTGAAGGACCCTGAAGGGAATTAGAAAGATGGGGGAGAGGAGAGGACAGGCATTCCTCTCTCATCCTCCACCTGGTCGGAGCTACAGACCCTGAATCAACCTTCTGTATATTAACGAAGTATCCCAGGAGGAAGAGAAGGACGTTTCCCTTTGGACATGCGGATGGTGAGCAAAGGCTGATAGCAATTCCGCGTGTCCCCGGCAGAGTCGGGGCCTGCCCCTCCCCGACTCCTAGATTCTGAGCCGCAGCCAGCAAAGCAGTGTGCAGCGGGGATTGAGGCGGGCGTGGGCGGCGGCGCCCGGGAAAGCTCCTGGAGAGGCCAAAGATGGGCGCTGCTCTGCGCCTGGCCCACCGTACCACCACGCCCGGGAACGAATTAGCTGAAGGATAAGGGGAGATGTGCAGACCCTACAGAGTAGATTCAGAGTTCTCCAGTATTCCCTGCAGTCATGGAGAAACTACGGGTTTAACCAGAATACGTCCTATTTAAGATGAATGGGGGACGGGGGCGGGGGCAGGGGTGGGAAGAAAGGACACTCCTTGGTCAGGAAGAGGTGTTGGGGCCAGGACAGGGATTCTCAAGGCCTTGCTTCGACCAGCTCAGAGATATGGGTATCTGCCTTTTCCCACAGGACGCCTTGGTCTTCAGGCTCATTCTTGGCAATGCAGCGCATCTGGGGAAAGGTGTGGAGCAGTGCGTGTGTGAAGGGGCAGGAGCGGGAGAGCCGCGGGGGCAGGTGCCTCAAGGTGCTGCAATGGCCCAGACAAGGTGCTGCAATGGCCCAAATGAGAGCTGGTCCTGGTGTGCGCCCTTGCTGGGGGGAGGTTTCCACACTATCTCGGTTGCAGGGATGGGGAGAAGGTTGGAGCAGGAGCCCTAAACCGCCACCCCCTACCCTCGAGCTCCCATTCCTGATCAGTGTCCCTACCAAACGCCTGCTACGTGGCTTTGGGTCCCGTCAGGTCGTATCCGCATTCCTGGGGAGGGGGCGGGGAGCTGCCAGCCACGTGCGCCCGGGCCTGCTGCGGAGCTGAAGGCCGACGAGGGACGAAGGCCGAGGAGGCACGGCTCAAGGACTGGAAGATTCACCGAACTCTTCTCTTCACTCAGATTTAGAGCTTTAACTGGGGTGGGGGTGGGGAGGATGCTAATAGCAGTACAGAAATCTGGAGCGCTGGCATCGAACTTTAAACATTTCCAAAGCTTTCAAAGCACTTATATGTGCCAGATCTTATTTGAATCTCACAAAAACCTTGTGAAGAATTACCTCCATTTAAAAATGGCATTGAGACCGGGAGAAGCGTACACTTAGTGTTTCTTGCATTCATTAATAACACAAAATAATGGAGAGGAAGAGAGAGAGAAAGAAGAGGGGTGACTAGGAGACCCATTCCACCTTGGCATTAAGACCCCAGTTGAGCCGCAAGCCTAGAGCTTGGGGCCCTCCTGCAAACAAGATTCTGTATTCAGTTTTGTCCCCTCTCCTTAGTTTTGTCCTTGTTCACTTGAGCTCAGCGTCCGTCCTCTTCCTTCTTCACTCCCTGGACTTAGACATTGCATTGATCAAGGCACAGCTGATGGGTTTCTGAGTCCTTCCGCATAGAGCTCCCTACGAATCTTCCGCATAGAGCTCCCTACAGAATCCCTTGGAAGGAAGGACAATTAAGCCGACTTGGCGCCCATCTTTCGAAGCACAACCGACTAGCGAGTCTCCGCGCTCAGAAGCAGGTTTGCCTGCCCCAAAGCCGCCAAGGGGGCCCAGAAACGTGGGCTGCGGCAGGAGGCAGGGGGGTGGTTCTCTGAGCTTTCTCTCCCCTCCCAAGGGACGTAGGTGGTGAGGAAAGTGAATGTAAGTGTGTAAATTGGCTTTGTATTGAAGGAGTGCAGGGCACTCCTGAAGGAGAGGATTGAAATCTTGAAATAAAAAGCCAATAAACAAAACAAGTTTCCCAACTACAATTGCTATTAACGAAAAAGGCATGTAACCTGCTGAATTAAATCGTTCAAAAGTGCCTGTTCATCATCAGGAGCTCCTTCTCTACAAGGAGGGGAAAGAAAATGTGAAAACAAAAACCAAATTCGAGAAGCCTCCTTAACTGGCCCCTGCAGTGTCTTGGAGGCCCCTGCCCGACCAGGGAGCGCTCCGCCTTTCCAGCCCCTTGCGGGGAGAGGAGGCTAAAACAGCCAAAGAGAAAACAAAACAACAACAAAACATTTAAGAGCCAAGGGGAAAAGTCGGAGTGGGTCTAAGAATCTGCATCGCGCAGGGCTCGGCTCCGGACTCCGCTCTGCTGGAGACTCTGGCCTGGCTTGAGCTGCGCGGCGAGTGCCTCCGGCCGGGCTGGGGAGCGCAGCCCACAGCTCCTCCTCTCCAGGCGCCCAAGGACCCTCAAGGCGCGGGGCTCACACTTGAAGCCTGGGAACGCGCAGACAGGAAACCCACTTCCTCCTAAGCAGATTCTTGCTCGCCAGATGAGAGGCGCCCAATTGAAGCAGAATGATCCTCATCTACTAATATCCAGCGTGGCCACAAAGCGACTGGCCATTTACGCCGCCACTTTAAACAAAGATATTTGGTTATTCCCGGGGAAGCAAGTGCACTTTTGCATGGCTGGGCTCCGGGTGGAGGTGAGCCTCAGTCCAGCCTCCCGCCGGCTGGGCTGCTCACGCCTAGGGATTCGCCCCCTCCCGGCCAGCTCGTCCCGCCGGGGTTCAGGCTCAGTTCCACCCGGCAACAGGCGGGTGGGCACCCACGACGCTCCCTGCCCGCGCCCTCCCTGAAGCATCAGAGGGGGAAACAGCGTAACCCTGGGATCGGGTGCCAGGGCTGTGATGTCCTCGGAAAGTCAGCTCCGGACCCAGAACCCCGCATATCCGGGCGATGGGCAAGGGTCGGGGACACCAGGTTTGTTCGAGGTGGAGAAACTTAAGCGATGGCCCTTCGCGTTAATCCCCCAGCCTT